TTACCAGCCAGATGCTGTTTTCCAAGTTGCCGGGTTGCATTCCTGGCTGCGTACATGCTGCAGCTGTGCACATGCGTGCGGCATTTATCGTGACATTATCAGACACACAGGGCAAAAAAAGTTGATGGCTGATAATGTTAATTTTCCTTGTATTGGTGCCAGTCCGATATGCAGCCAATGCACTAGTGCACCTCTACTTAACAACATTCCTTTGTCACTTTCCAAGTTGCCGGGTTGCATTCCTGGCTGCGTACATGCTGCAGCTGTGCACATGCGTGCGGCATTTATCGTGACATTATCAGACACACAGGGCAAAAAAAGTTGATGGCTGATAATGTTAATTTTCCTTGTATTGGTGCCAGTCCGATATGCAGCCAATGCACTAGTGCACCTCTACTTAACAACATTCCTTTGTCACATTTCTAAAGTTGGGCAAATATTTTCAGTAGGGTTGGAGTGTCATTGCAGTTGTGATGTTCTAGGATATTTGCAAGAGGCCAGGGCTTTTTGTGCCATCATGTTTTGGGCCAACTGTATAAGTGAAAGAGAGGTTGGATAAGCTTTTGAGCCCAGAAAGTCCTTGGCTCTTGCAAATATGCCTACCTTGAATTACCAGTAACATCTTGAATTAGAGCTGAACTTAATTTTCACTGTTTCGGACACCAAAACCAGATTAACAGCTTTACTTTTGTTCATAATTTGATCAGTGTCACTTCCTGTCTGTCTTGAATTAGTTCAGTGTGGCCAAATTTGGGTTATAGACGTTCAAGGGGGTTCTCTGTCAGTTGTTTCTCTTGACATTAGGTTAGATTTATAAAAGTTTTCTTGTTTTGGGGTTAAAGCTTGATTTTCCAGCATTCCTTTAACTCTTAAGGCAACACTTTAATACAAGTATAAATTTTGACTTTAACCTGCTCATCTGTTTTCTTAGGGTCTCTTTGTCAGTGGCATAGTTGGAGATCGCCTGAACTTACGCTGGGTTTTGTCTTTTGGCATGTGCTCCTCTGCACTGGTGGTAAGTTGGAAAATGCCTCTCTCCGGTCAGAACTTATTAAGTAGTGGTTAAGTAGAACTTATTAATGTGAAACTCATATTTTTGGTTAGAATAGAATTACATGATTTCCGCGTCTTTGAACTTAAAGGCCTGAATATTTTTGACACCATGAATTTTTGTTTGAAATCTTTGTGGGTCTCTTGCCTAGGCTTAGTTTATGTTGGCCATGAACAGACATGCTGTTTGTAGGACTCCAAGTGTCTTTGGAGTGTTCCAGGTAGTGGTAACAAGTTTTCGTAGCTGAAGAAGCACTTCAGGAATCATCCTCAAAAAAGAGAATGTCTTTGAAGTGCTTCCTTGAAAGGTATGCATCCTCCAGTGGAGCGCAATAGGGGGTTGCTTGATCACTTGTCATTCTACAGTGCTTTGGTACCCTCACATTCTGAACATAGGGCTAAGATCAAGAAAGTCAGTGAACATTTTCATGTGTGCTTGGCTGTCATTGAGAACTTCTGGAGACCTTGGCTGGAGAGCACCAACACTGTATGCCTTTGTGGCCATTTTGAAGTCCTCCATGGTGGAGCCGCCAGACTTCTGCCCAGTGCTGAAGTGCTCCAACTTGGATTGGGATTTGGCGCATTTAAAATGCATGTCTGTCCATTATGAAGCTGCAGCTTTCAAAGCTGCAGCAGCTGGGGTTTGGGAACAGACACAACTGTGAGCAGGAGCTCTCTACTGTCAGAGTTGCATCAGTGTGTCAGGGTTTGCTGTTATAACTATCTATGTATGTTAGCTGTGAAGTGTAATCATTTCGTGCCCCATGCCAATGTAGCTGTGTCAACAGAACTTTATGTTGGTAAGACTAAAGACTTCAGGAGTTGCTTGAGTTTTTGAGGGACCAAATATGGGCCTGCGCTCTTCATTCTGTGCATCCTGAATGTTTTCTAAGTCTCTATGTAACTTTAAATGCTTGATGCTTTAAATGTATGCTTTCCCAACCGTCTTATTCAGTGTTTTTAGGAAATGGTAACTAATAAACTGGTATTAAAGTGATCATTCTTTTTCAGATGGAGGGGTATGTGTGTAAAATATTCAAAAGGGAATATTTGTAAAGAAGGAATGACTAGTTTAGTCTCAAGTTTCCATGCATATGTAGTGAATGAATTTTATTTTGTCAAGATGTATTATTCAGATTGCATCAAAATATGCATTATGCCTCAGATTCATTCCAATACCTGGGAGACCAGTTGCAGATTTATATATGTATATATAATATTCATTCCTAGTGTTTTAATAATTTGACATCCAACTCTACTCTCTGCTATTGAGCATTTGTGAAGGAAAGAATGGAAGTACTGTTGTGGGGAAGGGGGGTTGTGGTTTTTTGCAATTTTCTTGCGAGAGACAGCAAGGTTTATGCATTGGTTAAGTAGAAATTACTAAAGCTAATGTATTAAAGTATTGCTACAAATCTCTTGTACATCTTGTTTTATTTTGTGAATAACTTGCAGCCATAACTCTTTGGGCTGTGATCTTTTGACTAAGCTAGGTTCAGCACTGGATGGAGGTGCTTGGGGTGCTGCAAAAAGTACTGTTGGAGATGCAGCAGGTGGCGCAGTTGCCTCTAAATCTAATTTGAGGCAGTGTGTCCTGTTTTTTTCTTTAATTTCCTCTCTTTCCCAGGCTTCAGGTGAAATCGGTTAGCCTTTATAGTTCCTATGCATCACAATCTAGTGGCAGCAACAGTTTTTTTTTCTCTTCTTCCTTTCCCCTCCCACAGGTATTTTTGTTCGGCACTGTCACAGAATGGCTGCACTTCTACAACAAGTGGTTCTACTGCTGCTTATGGGTCCTGAATGGCTTGTTGCAGTCCACCGGCTGGCCCTGCGTTGTTGCTGTCATGGGAAACTGGTTTGGAAAAGCTGGGTACGTCATATTTCTCCTGTCAGTGAGTTAATCTTTACAGTTTTGATTGAAATTCCTAAACAGAAAATCTTCTTTTACAAATCAGGTTAGGGTTGCTAAGTGATAATGTTCTTACACATGCAGCACCCAAGCAATGAAAAGCACATAGAAGAATAGTGAATGACCTACTTTTTAAACTGCCCTGATAATTACTGTTCATCTGATTATGAAATAATACGGAGTTCATTACATGATGATTAAATCTAACTTAGGTTAGGTCAGAGTTAAGTTTGTTCTGTTGTGATGAAACATGCTTTGTTACCAAACATTGCTCTATATGTGCAAGCCAACATGTATGATTATGCATTTCGAACAAAGTTGCAGGATTTGTTTACGTGTAAATTGCACACATGCCTGTAAAATTGCACACCTAGGTTATTTGACATGTAACGTATTAAACTTCCAGATCTTAGAAGTTGTTTCAAAGCATGTAAAGTAAGCCAATACTAGGCAGTCCCAGGAGCTTAACAAGAACTTTGATCTGCTGTAAAAACTGAACCTGTCATTTCGATAGTGTCTAGGAGACCAGATCCAACCCAGTGCCTAGTGTCCTGACATAGGTGGCCCAGACCCTAGTTTGACTTTTGCACAACAGGATCTGACACACATTGACTTAGTATATTGTGCACTGGTTATTTGGAATTTTATTTTAAAGAAGAGATTCTTTTGGATGCGACGGAAAGGGAGATTCAGCCATTCTAACACTTTCCCCTTTGCTTTTTTTTTTTCATCCTTTCTCATGACTCACTCAGGAGGGGCTTTGTTTTTGGACTCTGGAGTGCCTGTGCATCAGTGGGGAACATTCTGGGAGCCTTCCTTGCATCCTGTGTGCTGAAGTATGGCTATGAGGTGGGTTGTGCTGTGTGATTCCTACCTAGAGGCTTGTGTCTACCTTAGTTATGCAGAAGGGGCTGGCTTGTTCAGACGTTTCACGCCTTGTCTGTGGTAACTGAACAGAACCAATATGTTTTGACCCTCTTTCTTGTTAAGTGGTAGACACACCAAGTAGGTATTCGTCTCTTTCCCATCCCAACTCCAGGCGGACAGAGAGAGGAGTATCATATAAGCCGATGTGCAAGGGGAGGATTCTTTCCCTTTAAAACTGCCTGTATTATGAGCTATTGCCTTTCTGGCTTAGATGGGATAAAGTGTTCTTTGCAGCCAGATATAGTACAATTCTTTAGCATACTGGCAGGTGGTGCTTTTGAAAAGAAGAGGCACTGATGCCTATCCGTCTCTGAGTGCTCATAGCACTAATCCAGGGAATTAGTAGTAAGGATTAGCTATTGATGTGACTTCTTCTAGAAATACACCTGTACTATGGTATCATTAACATAGCAAGTGCTTTCTTTATAACCCCCTGTTCTCAGCCTCTCACAGCTTCCCAAAACATTCACCTTTTAGACTGGCATTGTCTACTTTCAACAAGAAGTTGAGTGTAAACAATTTTTTTTGAAAGCTTGACCGAAATCTCTTTGGCTATGTGTGAGTTGAGGAGGAATAGGAAGACCTACTCTTTTTAAAGGGACTGGTGCCAGAAGTGGCTGGAATTTGCAACTTGGTTCTACTTGTGGAGTTTGCTTTTCTTTTTTGTGGGCAGGGTATAGATACAGGGTTTAATTAAGTGTGAGCTCTCTTTGGACTCCTCAGTAAACATACTGAGGATGTCTGGATATTTTCCAGAGTCTCAGAAAGCTGTGCCTTTTATATGACATCTTGGTATATTTTACCTGCCTACGGGTGCCATGTTTGAGAACAATAGTAATGTGTAGTAGAAACAAAACACCTTCCCTCACTACCAGCAGTCTCTTGTGTCTAAAAATAATGCCTCTGTGTGGGCACAGTTACTGAGTTATACACCAAGGTATGAATTTCTATTTGTGGTTCTTGGTGTACTTGCCAATATTAAAATATATAGGTTAGGGTTGTGCAAAGCTTCGGTAGCCGATTCGATTCGGAGAAGATTGGGCCTGATTCGGCGGCCAAATCAGAATCAAAACAGGAGACCCATTAAAAGGTCCGAATCGATTCAGAAGCCTCCAGATTGATTCAGAGAGATTCGGAGATGGACTATATAGTCAGCAGTCCTCCATGACGCTGGACACAGCTGTTTCCAGCTGGTAAGTCTGTTGTGGGGAGTGGAGGGGGGAGGGAAGGGGCATGGAGGGATACAGGACTAGGAGAGTGGGGCTCCCACCATTGTGTGCCTACGGTCCGGGAACTGCTCTTCTGGTGGCTCCTCCAGTGGCATTCTGCTTTCTGTTCTTGCTGCCGGTCCGGAAGGGCATGGGAGTGGGTGTGTGCCCTTGCATCTGTGCGGGGTGGGCTGGGCAGGGCTGTGCTGCTCTTCAGGAGGCTAGCCCTAGCTGCTCATTGCCGAGCAGCGCTCCGCGGGGTGAGTGGAGCCAGGGATGTGCTCTGGGCGGCTAGCCGTAGCCCGAAGTGCAGCCCTGGCTTTGCCTGCCCCACAGAGTGCAGTTGAGGGGGGCCTGCAGCCACCCCAAAATTCCCCATAGCCCCTGCCACCAGCCTCATCCCAATACGGGCACATGCATCCGCCTCCATGCTCTGCTGCTGCTCGTCCGCTGCTCGTCCAGCCAGGGCAGAGTGGAGCGAAGCCGTGGCTTGTTTGGGGGAGACGGGGAGGCTGGAGTGGCTTCCGTCAAGGGGCTTGTCTGAGGCAGTGCAGCAGCACTGTCCTGCACCTCACTGCCCCAGTGAGTGGCTGGAGGCTATAGCCCCTGCTTCTAGCACCTTTCGCTGCCCGTCCAGATCGCAGCTCGCCCTGAGCAGATCTGGGTGCACACGCCTGCTCCTGTACTATAGGATCCGCCAGAAGAGCAGCTCCTGGACTGGCAGCGCTCAGTGGCAGCAGCCCCACGCCCCAATCCCTCCCTCGCTGTGGGGGTGTTGTTCTGTCTCTCCCATGTCCCTCTCCCCCCCCCCCTCTGCCCACCACAACACACTTACCTGCTGGACGCAGCTGTGTCCAGCATCGTGGAGGACTGCTGCCTGCATAGTCTGTGGCCGAATCTCCAGATCCAAATCGGCCTAATGGAATTGGGACAGTGATTTGAATCACTGAATCGAATCGTTGTCCCTCCAAATCGGCCAAATCTGAATCCGAAGCAAATACTTGCTGCTTAGCACAGGCCTAACATAGGGATCACACATAGCAGCTTGATGGGGTTTGCATCATATCTTAAAGGTCTGGACGTTTCCTTATCAAGGGTTGGGGGTGGAGTTTCAAAGTGGAGGAGGGTACCTCAGATTCCCTGCTGGCTGCTTCCTCTCTCATACTGAAGTAACTTCAGGTCACTGCTATCACAGATCTAAGTTTGTCTTTACCTTTGAGTAGCACAGACTGTTTTTTAGGAAGTTTTGTCCCCACACATGTTTCCCTCCCACTCCCATTTGCTTATAAGTGTTACATTGCTAATGTGTTCTGAGTAAGTCAGTATTTACAGAACAGATGCACATCATTAATATTCACTCTTCTGGAAAGCTCCAATGAAGCAAAACATAAAGAAGGAAATCATAGAAAGTGAGGGTTGGGAGGGACCTCAGCAGGTCATCTAGTCCAACCCCCTGCTCAGAGCAGGACCAGCCCCAACTAGATCATCCCAGCCAAAGCTTTGTCTAGCTGGATTTTGAAAACCCCCAAAGATGGAACTTCTACCACCTCTCTGGGTAACCTGTTCCAGTCTTTTACTATTCTCCTAGTGAGAGAATTTTTCTTAATAGCTAACCTAAACTTCCCTTGCTGCAACTTGACCGTTGCTCCTTGTTCTGTCATCTGCCACCACCATCCTCTTTCGAACCCCCCTTTCGGTAGTTGAAGGCTGCTATTAAGTCTCCTCTCAGTCTTCTCTTTTCTAGACTAAATAAATCCAGTTCCCCCAGTCTTTCCTCATAAATCATGTCCCCATAGCCCCTTCACCATTTTTGTTGCCCTTTGCTGGGTTCTTTCCAGTTTGTCCACATCCTTTTTGTAGTGGGGGGCCCAAAACTGAACGCAGTACTTCAGATGTGGCCTGACCAGTGCTGAATAGAGGGGAATAATTACTTTGTTTGACCTACTGGCAATACACCTACTAATTCAGCCCAGTATGCTGTTAGCCTTCTTGGCACCTAGGGCACACTCCTGGCTCAAATGTTTGGACACTTTGTTCAAATGCCTTGATCACAAACTATATCTGGGTCTGTAGATGCAGAGAAATTTTTGATTCACGTGGACCATGCATGTCAAAGTGGTTTGGCTGTAATAGGCCTACCACATCTTTTAGAATGCACTTAGTTCCCCAAGTGTCTTCCACTTGAAACTGGATATTTTTTTGTAATGGAAGAACCTGTTGTTGGCTCCTAGGGGAATAAATTCTGTTGAGGACCAGGGTGAGGAGTCCTGTTGTGCAAATTTACAGCATAATAGAAACGCAATGACTTGTTTTGTTTTGCTCCCCTCTGCTAGCGGGAGGCTAAGGATTAGGAATCATAAAGAAGCCCACTTGTTTACCTGGGCTTTGCTTTTCAACATGAGGAATTAGTGAGGCACTGGCTGCGGTTGTTAGTAGAAGACAAAGGGCCAGATTCTGTTCCACATGTTAGGCACAAGTGGCTCGTATTTGCCTAAAACTACACCTTTTAACTGCTTTAAAGGAAAGGAGCAGTTACTGCTGTGAAGTGTTTTGGTGTTGCAATTTAACTTTTAGATCAGCATGATCTTGCAGAAGTACAAACAAGTGGAATTGCTGTAAGTAACCCAGAATAAAATGGGGTTAAACTTGCAATGGTTTTGCTACATTGTATCACTTCAGAAAGCTGCAGATGTAATAGTTTCACTTCAGCCACTTATATCAATATCAAATGATTCTGTCTGTCTAGGTGGGAAAGTGGGAGCCTCACCTTTAACAGCTTTTTTTTTTTAAATCAGGCTACTTCTGGAGCACACCTTCATCTTCACTTAAGTCACAAAAAAGTGGCAAGAGCCCTCACATTCTGTATTTATTTTCTTTTAGAGACGTGAGCTGAGAGGAGTAGGATTGTATTTACCTATGTAATAAGTGGATAGACACTTGTCAGGGATGATCCTGCCTTGAGATTGGGGGGTGGGAGGGCTGGATTAGATGACCTCAGCCCTACTTTCCTCTGGTCCTATGTTCCTGTGTGTCTGCCTTTAAAGTGCGGAGGGAGTGAACAGAATAGGGTTGTTTAAGTCTCTGGCCCTTGATGATGTATTCCACTTTAACACTTTCTCTTAAGGGAGGTAGGTGGATGGAACGCAATGCCAACTTCTGGGGTTAGGGGTTGTGGTCAACTAGTTTCTGGGTTTTATAGACATGGCTTAGGTTGGTGTGAGTAAAGTTTATTTTTTGACAATGTTTGAATGTAGAGAAGCTCCCTTGCCTAATTGCCCACTGCGCGTGCACACTTTCTCCCCTCTCTTCTCCATGAGCGAGACTTTTTGGAAAAGCAGTTCTGAAGAATTAACTCAGGATAAGGTGCCAAAGAACACTGTGTAAGCAAATGCTTTTATTCTGCCTCTTCTCCAGTATGCCTTCCTGGTGACCACATCAGTGCAGTTTGCTGGAGGAGGAGTTGTTTTCTTTGGGCTTATAACATCCCCTAAGGAAGTGGGTAAGTAGAAATGGTTCATGTCCTCTTAATCCATTACTGGACAGCAGGTTTGCAGCTTCTCCACATAGCGCTAAAATCATGATTAGGACTACACGTCACATCAAAAACCTGATTTCTAATGCTAAACATTCATGTAGTTGGAAGCAGCTGTAAACTAGCTCTGTATCCTAGTAGTGGCTGCTTGAGCAAATAGTCTCTGGGCCTGGCACAGGCTAGATGCAGAGAGCTTTTTTCGCATAGATAGTGCGTGCCACAGTAGTTTGCTATTAATGGGTGTCCCGTAGCCATTAGAATTTGCCATGTCCCTGGAAAGTGGATATTTCTCTAATAGGAGGAACTAAAACTGGCTGTCAAGGAAGTAAATTGTATTAAGGAGCAGGCTGAAAACTGAGGGGGAAGAATGCCTTGTGCATGACTCCTTCAGCAGATTAACGAAAGGCAGATGGGTTTGGAAGGAGTGTTGTTCTCATCTGAGAAGACAGTTGGCAAGGCAGTGTCTCCAGCATGAGTGTACAAGTGTAGCAGGGCTTTGGCAGGGCCATAGAGGAGTCTCATGTGTTTGTGTGGGAGGCTGCAGAGGAAGGTAGCTGTTGAAATGCTGTATGTGTGCATATATGTAGTTCAGACAACTTAAAAAGTGTTCTAGGAAATCCAGCTCAGAGAGACTTCTATTTAGTACATCTGTTAGAACAGCTGCCTGTAGATCTTGAGTATCTGTGTGGCAGCGTGCAGATCCGAAGCCCAGTGAGCCTAGACACTTAAGTAAGGGGGAATGCACTAATTTGTTGTCTTCAACTAATGGCCAGACACTCAGAACAGAAAGAGGCGACGCAAGGATCAGACAGAATACTTTCAAGAGCGATAGAAGACAAGGGGTATAGAAACTGGCGGCCCTGCAGAACACCACCTAGAAGAGTTTCTAAGCCAAAGGAGGATGGAGGTACGGGAGAGCAAGGGCATTGTCAGAAGGGAGATATGCTTATAAGGAGCAAGCACGGCTTTTGTGTGAGGAGAGGGTGGTGTTGTCCTTTGCTTTTATGGCCTATTTTCATGCATTCTAGGCCTCCCTGAGCTTGATGCAGAAGAGAAGAATGTTGTAGAAGAAGATGCCAACAGACCCTTAATGAGCAGTGAAGATGTGGATGACTATGACCGGAATTATTCCATTCAGGCATCTGACAGTAGCATTCAGCCCAAGGCCATTGGCTTTTTCCAAGCTTGTTGCCTACCAGGTGTCATACTGGTAAGAACCCCTCAGCTTTGTTCATCACAAAGCAATTTATGCAATATAAATAGTTGTTAAGAGAGAATAATTAAGGTTAAACAGCTAAAAAATGCCAGAAAAGAGATTCTCTATTCAGCCAGAATTGATGAATGAGCAGATGTCGGCGGCAGGGACACAGAAGTAATTAGATTTGGGGCTTCTAGAGAGTGGGGCCTTGCAGTTGCTTTACTCAACTTCAGGGAGTTGACAAAACTTAAGTATTTTTTGTAAGATTATTCAGGTGGAGGAAGGGGGAAACAAAATTAAAATGGACTGGTGAAAATTATATACATTACAAAACTCATTTGGGGTATGACTAATGTTCAGAACTTCCAAGGTCATCAGTGGTATCCTTGTGTATTATGGTGCAGTTTTGGATAACTCCCTACTGTTTTATTCCTCGGGACCTGTGCATAGGGTGGATCTGATTTGGAAATGTTTTGGGATTCTGTAGTGAAGTAGGAGCCGTTTACCTCTAGAGCCCCTGCCTTATTTTCTGTAGAAGTTGAAGTGTGTGCAATGAGTGAGGTAGAAGGTTGCAGGAAGAACAAGAATGGTCTCATGGTTGAGGCAGTTGAATGGTGTCTAGACAAAGGATTCTATACCTACCTGCCTTTGCCAGACTTCCTCTGTGAAGTAGTAAAGCTACTTTAACCAGACTTTCCCCGTTTTGCCACTTAGGGTGTATTTCTCACTTTCTGGGTCTGACCCTGGCATCTCATAAGCAGATGTGCTGAGTAGTCATAGCTGCAACTGAAAGTGTTTTGAGTGCATGTGTACATGCATGTGGTTAAAAATTCTAGAGAGAAACAGCTTTAAGTGTCTCAAATTGGGCGTCCAAAACTAGTGAAAACTTCTAACTTCAAGCTCCCTTTGCTTCCACACTCTATCAGTACAATAGGGATTATACCAACCCTTCATTTAACTGGGTGTAGTGAAGACTGACTTAATTAGGTTGTAAAGGACTCGGAATACTAGAGTGAGAAGTCCTATAGAAAAGCCCCTGAGGAAATTTATTCTTTCTTCTTGAATAGTGTGCAGTAAATAAGTTCTGTGGGAATGCAGTGAGCAATAAAGAGAAAACAAAATAGTAGATAGCTGCTTGTTAAGTAAGGACTCTCCATTCTATGCACTGAATTAGGCCTGGGAGCAGTGTAAAAATAAGACATGAGTTTGTAAGAAGGCCTGCAGCATAGTATGCACACTAATGGAACTGAACTAAGGCTGCCCAGGCAGCTTTAATTTTGCCATTTCCTAACTTCTGTAACAGACTTTGCAACATGAATAATTCTTTATGGATTTTTCAGCATAATCATATACTGTAAAGCAAACTGGGGAAAAAAGAGACTTTTCACCACAGGGCATCCTGTTCATATCTGCATGGTATATCCACAGAGTTAGAGATCTAGACACACTACACAGGCCTCCACTACTTAAACTAATGTTGTTGTAGGTTGTTATCCTCGGTGTGGACTAGTACTGAAGGGGGATGGGACACCTTTAGTACTAGTGGGTTGCACAGATGCTTGCTTACAGACCATTGATGAGACTTGGGGTTCATGGATAGCATTCTAGACTCTGAAAGTGAAGTATACTCTAGGCACAGGGTCTTTTTGCTGCTCCTCTTCTGCCCAGTGTCTCTCTCTTCTTCAACCTTTCTCTTTGTTTCTTGCCCCTTTCACTGCTCATCATCCCAGTCTCCTCATTCAGCTAGTTATCCTCACTCTGGTCTACTCCCACAGAAGGCAGGGTAGATATGTACCTTTTATAGACTAAATAAGATATAGATATATATGAGCACAGGCTTTTCTGAACCCAAGTTCATTACTTGCACAGTTATCATTTCCCCCTCCACCCCACCTCCAAGCCCAATTCTTTTATCAACTTCCATTGCTCATTTTCCCAGTCTCTGCCCACCCAGTTTGTTCTCCCCATCCTACCCCTGCCATCAGATCTGTCTTGCTGTCTCCCTACCTCATTCCCACTTTCCCTCATTCCTTGTCCAGCCACTCTGTCTCCCTCTAGCTCTCAGTGCCTCTGCCAGCCATCAGTGACTGGAGCCCAGCTGGTTCACACATTCTTTACCAGCACCTACTCGTCATATCATATCTAACTGTTTCTGCTGTTCTCTGTCTCTTGTCTTCCAGTCAAAGTTTCCTCTGCTAGACTCTTTGTCCTAATCTGTCCCTTTACTTATCTTGTCAGTGGGGGTTTTTTTCTTTGTTAGACAGCTTCATCCTTCACTCAGCCTGAATGCCATTGTGAGAGTGATTGATCACAGAAATGAAACAGGCTCCTTGCTTTATTTTGGTGCCCAGTTGGAGTCTAGAGCATCTGTCTGGAAGCTGTGGTTACAAGGAGAGTCCAGGTTTACCTATCTGTGTTAGGGTAGAACATGTGTAAGAGCTTGGAGGGACTGAAGCATGTTCACTGAGGACAAACTCTTTGGAATATTTGCTTTCTAAAATGTAATCTCTACTCGGCAAATACAAACTGAGGGGTGTTTTTTAGGGGTGCACCAATAAAGATATTTGGGCTGATATCAATGGCTAATTATTAACCAGCCATATTGGCTGATACCAAGCCAATTGCTGCTATGCAGCCCAGCAGCTTGGAGAGTCTGGTAAGTCTGTGGGGGGTGGGAAGGGGCATGGAGGGGGAAGATCAAGGCCTGCGCAGTGAGGGAGGGAGTGGGGCTGGGACAGGGGCAGATACTGCACAGCCAGGGTGGGGCAGAGCAAGACTTGTCTGGGGAGTATGGGGGGGGTAAGTTGGGGTGGGGTGGTTCCCGCTGCTGCCTTCACCCCCAGGGGAGGCATGGGGGTCATGTGCTCCCAGGTGTGTGCGTGGGGTGAGGGTGGGCTGCCACTGGGGGCCAGGGGCTGTGCCAGCCTCTTCCTGGTGGGGTGGGGGAGGGCTGGGCTCAGGTAGGGCACGCAGTGGTGGCGCTGGGAGGGGAGGATATGGGGGGGGGGCTACAGCCACCCCAAAATTCACTGTAACCTTCCCTCCCAGTACCACTGCTGCCCGGCCCAGCCCCGAGCAAGCAGAGGGAAGCCTTCACCCCACGCACAGATCCAGAGGGCAAATGCCCCCCCTATGCTTCCCCCAGGGGTGTGTGCAGAGGTGGGAGCTGCCCCCTAACCCCCCCAGATGAGCCACAGCTCTGTCCCACACCACCCTGGCTGTGTAGCACCTGCCCCAGTCCCAGCCCCACTTCCTCCTTCACTGTGGGGACCCCAATCTGCCCCCCCCACACCTCTTTTCCCCACAGATTTACCAGCCGGACACTGTTCTCCAAGATGCTGGGCTGCATTCCTGGCCATGTGCATGCTGCAGCCACACCCGTGCATGCTGCAGCCACACCCGTGCATGCTGCAGCCACACCCGTGCATGCAGCATTTACTGGCAATATCAGTTTAAAAAAAAAAAAGCCAATTGCTGAAAATGTAAATTTTTCTTTAATCAGTGCTGATGTGATATGGATAGAAGTATTGGTGCATCTCTAGTATTTTTCCCTGCTACGCTCAGAATTTTTCCAAATTTGGCATGTTTTCCAAGAATAGCGAAAGGCAACTCCCTGATGCAAAGGTTACCATCCAGCTTAATGTCACCTCCCTGCCCCAGATCATAGGAAGGCTAGAGTTTCTTAAATGAAAATTCCACGGTGTGTATATGTTTTCCAATGTTTTGTTCTTGGGAATGCCTGGAAATTCTGGCTTAAGTTAAAAAAGAATGCCTGAAGCAGAAGACTGGCATAGAAAGCTTCAGCCTGCAGTGTTAGTGTGACAAGTTTATAAACAACTGAAAACAGGGCCTTACACAGGGGTGTGTTAGGGACCCTTAATAGGTGCGGTTGGTAGCACGGCCTATTATTGTAAACATGGGGGGAAAAAGGGCTATCATGGGAAAAAGGGTGCTGCTGTCACTGAAGAACTAATACAGACAGTAATAAATAAAGGGAATATAACTGCCTTGAATTCTGTAAATGCCACACTAGGAAAGGATTGGTTTGGAGGGGTGCTAGGAGTAGGAGAATGCTCCCAACGCTCTACTCAGCATTGGTGAGGCTGTACCTAGAGTACTGCATTCAGTTCTGGGCACCACGCTCCAAGGAGGATGTGGAGAAGCTTGAGAGAATCCAGAGAAGAGCCACTTGTATGACTAGAGGCCTGAAGAGCAAGCCATACGAGGCAAGGCTGACTGATATGGGACTGTTCAGCCTAGAAAAGAGAAGACTTTGTGGGGATTTGGTGGCAGCTTACAAATATATCAGGGGAGAGCATCAGGGGCTAGGCAAACAACTATTCACCAAAGCACCCCCGGGGAAAACCAGGAGCAATGGTCATTAACTCCTAGAAGGAGGTTTCAGACTGGATATAAGGAAAAACTTTGCAGTTCGTGTGACTAGACTCTGGAATAGACTCCCAGTGGGGGTGGTGCGGGCACCTACCCTGAAGATCTTCAAAAGGAGACTGGACACACACCTTGCTGGGGTTATTTGACCCCAGCAGTCTTTGCTGCCCAGCAGGGGGGCTGGACCTGATGATCTCAGGAAGTCCCTTCCAGCCCTAAGCTTTTGTGAATCTGTGAGAATGAAATGAATTAAATGCAGGCAGAATATTGGGAAGTAAAAAATGGTTCTGACAGAGGAGTAGATTCCAAGGAAGGATTAGAAACCTCCTCATGTGAGTCACATAAAATAATAATAGCAGACATAGCAATTCACCAGCAGGGTAGGGGAACACATCATCAAACCAAACTAATAATGCTTAGAAGTTATAGCTTTCTGCCAAAAATGAAATGAGAAACTCTGAATACAAAATCCAGATAAATTTATTAAACAAATCAACCAGATTTGTATTCATTTTGCCTTCCTTCGGTTTCTTTCCTCTTTCAACTGAACAGCATGCAGTTATTAAAAAGCCTTATGTAAAGGTGTCTGAAGATTGGGTCAGTCTTGTTGCTTGACTTGAGCATTCTGAAGCGTTGTTCACAATGGCCTGATCCTGTGCATGCTTGGTCTGCAGAACTCTTGCTAACTTCAGTGGGGATCTTGTGCATGAAATGGGCCTAGGTTTGGGCCTTTAAAACTGGCGCCTTAAAGGGGAAAGAAGCAACCACAGTTTTGTTTGCAAATCATCTTTGCATTTGCAGGGGGAGAGGTGTTGAATACCATGTTCTTTGCTCACTCTTGTTCCATCTACTTACCTTATCATTGAAACAAGCAGGTGATTAGGAATATACCAGCTATGATCCCTGGTACCTAAAGGCTATGCTCCCTATAATTCCTTCTGTGGGAGAGTTAGTGAACGTAGTTTCCTTGTACTGCCCCATTGATTATTAGCAAAGTCCTTGTAAAACATGTGCCTTACACTTGCTTTGAAAGCTCCAAACCCTGAGTTGTTGGGATCTAGAGGGGAGTAATTTCTACAGCTGAGAACTTTTTGAAAGCCCTCCTGTTGTCTAAGAAAAGTTCAGTCCTAGGAACCAACCCCTCAGGCTTGCTCAAGACAAAATGTTTCGGTTTTTGGATTCGGGTGCTATGAGTGAAGAGGGTGCTTTGAGTGGGTAGGAGCAGCTTTAGTGGTAGAACATAACGCAGAGAAACTCCGGCATTTCATATAGTCCTCCCCAGGGTGCACAAATTGAGCCTTGGCCCCCTTTAGGTTGCATGATTAGCTTCCTTCCCTCCAGGAGATGAACTGATTTATCTTCTGGCATTAGCCTGAACAAGTTACCATGAGAGTAGGGATTTACAGTGCAACAGCTGCTCCATGGTAACTGCCTAGGCGCGTACCCATCTGGTAGATGAAAGCTTACCCCTCTAGGTAAGCTGTGGTGGCTTGACTTTCATATGCTGGGGGCAAAGAGCATGCACATGGGTGGTTACCATGGAGAAACTGATGCTCTGGAAATCCCCACCCTCATTTACCAAACAGTAATTTGTTTGTTCCTCTGCCCTTTGGTTCAGAAGCTGATTTCACTTTAAACATTTCAAGTGATTGTGTGCAATGAAAAATACAGTAAAAATAGCCCTCCTGTTTGTTGACTTTTCTTATCCCACCCACTCCATCCCCTGGTTGTCTTGGGTGTTCAGCAGCAGGCTTTCCTGCTGTTGCATTCTTACATGAAATGCAGAAAAGCTTCACATGAAAGCTTCAGTTGTGCCCAGAGCTTCAGGGATGGAAGCACAATTGCTGCTTGTGCATTTCTAATGCTAACTGCTTGCTGGTTGTTGGCTTTTTTTGTTTCAGTATTCTTTGGCCTATGCCTGCTTGAAACTAGTAAATTACTCCTTCTTCTTCTGGCTGCCCTTCTACCTCAGCAACAACTTTGGATGGAGAGAGGCTGAAGCTGACCAACTCTCGATTTGGTACGATGTGGGAGGAATTATAGGTGCGTGCAGCAAGCAACAACTTCTTTCTGTGGCTGATCAGCTGGTGTCTGATCTTTGCACAACAAATGCAATATAAAGGAACTGTAGGGACTACACTGTTTATTTAAATTAGCCTAGCCAATTTATATTGAAACGCAGAACACTGGGAAGTCTCTAGCAGTGCCCACTAACCATAGAGGCATGACCTTTTCAGTTCATGCTGCACCAACAGTAGACTTTTCTTGACTCATTTTGAACTCAGTTGCCAAGCTTGGAAACCTGAAAAACATTATTTTTTATATTGTTTCCCTCAAGAATCCTTGAGGGAGAGGGTAGGCTCAGATTCGTGGTATACTTTACCCTAGTGCTCAGTCCCCTACTAGTGAGTATTGACCACAACTCTTCAGTGGAGTCGAATACAGTTCTTGTTGAGGCCCCTGATAAAATCTGCAGCTCTGCATTCACATCACAATGGAGAAAGCTTGTCTTTACATCCAGAACTCTATTGTCACTAGTTCTTGGATAGACAACTGGTTCCTCTTGTTCTCCCTTCTCTCCCAGTAGACTGTTTAGTTGTTATTGTAGACTTGTCTACACTAAGAGCATTTTCTAGTTTGGGACCAGCAGTAGAATGTCCCTAGTGATAGCAGTGAAGGGTGTGCTGATATAGGCAATGTGCTAGCAGCCACCAGCCTTTTAACCATGTGTTCTGTAGGTCTACTCAGAGTGGGGTTAAACAGCTGAGTACTTAACGCAAAAGATATATATATATTTTTAGCACTCCCATCCATCAGGCAGAACCTTTAAAAGGAGCAATAGGAAAGTTTAGGAAGCTGCTGTAGGGTGTTATGCTGTGCAGGCCCAGAATAACAATTATAAGAGTAGAGTGTACTGGGAGGGGAACACACAACAGAAGTACTGACTAGCCATATGCAGAGAAAGTGTAGCCTCTTAATACAGTAGGTGGAAATGTGTAGTAGGGAATAAATATACATCGTGAGTTACCTTGGTTTGGTATTGTCTTGCAGGCATCTTTGCCTTTCAAAGGCAGTGGGAGTTCAGAGATGCAGATGTGAAGATAAAATGAGAGAAAATAATATACCCTCCTGTGCATTCACTGAATTGTATTCCGTGTCTTAATTTACAAGGCATAATGATTTTTCATGTTATATTTATAGGTGGGACCATCCAAGGCTTGATTTCTGACATGCTACGGAAGAGAGCCCCAGTGCTAGCAATCAGTCTGCTCTTGGCTGTAGGGGCTCTCTTTGGATACAGCCGTGAGTATATTTTGCAGCCCTTTCTGGGGGGTTTTTTTAGGAAAAGAGATAAACCTGCTGGTCTCCCCTTGTTTTGGAATTTTTTTGGTTTAGGTTATTTCCTATTGGAGCATTCTTCTTGCAAATTGTACCCAGCTAGGTAGAGTATTGTGGTTAAGATTTAAAATGACCTTGATAAATTGAAGAATTAACCTGAAATAGGATAGAATTCAGTACAAGCAAATGTAAAGTACTACATTTAGGAATGAATAATCAAATGCATGTATGCAGAGTAATAGAGGTGCACTGATACATTGGTCCGATATCAGATCAGCAAAGATATAAAGAAAATTGGCTGCATTGGAAATTGGCTCAATGTGGCTGATAATTTGGCTGATAAATGCCCATGTGTGCGCGCAGCCACAACGCAGCACACAGGCAGCGAGGAGCACAGCCCGGCAGTTTGGAGAGCTGTGTGCAGCTGGTAAGTCCATTGTGGTAGAAGCGGGGGGAAGAGGTGTGGGGTGGCGGGGCAGATCAATGGCCCCCACGGTGAGGGAGGGAATGGGGCAGAGGCTGGGGTTGGGGCAGGCACTTCACAGCCGGGGCTGGGCGGGCGGGGCATGGGATGGAGCTGCAACTCATCTGTCGGGATGTGCCCCCCCCGGATCTGCCTGGGGTGGGTCAGGCGGGTTGCAGCTGTGAGCTAGAGTTGGAGCTGCACAGGGCTGTTCTTGGCAGGGGGATACAGTGGGGGGGCTGCAGCCACCCCAAATTTTGCCGTAGCCACCCCCAACCCCTCTCCCAGCGCTGCTGCCACCACCCACCTGGCACAGTCCCAGCGCTGCTGCCACCTCTACCCATGTGCCAGGAAGAGCCAGGGATATGCTGGGTGGGTGGCAGCGGCGCTGGGGTGGGGCTGTGGTGAAATTCAGGGTGGCTGCAGCCCACCTGCCCCGCCCTGCACAGATCCAGGGGGCAAACATCCCCCCCATATGCTCCTAGGGTGCATGCAGCAGTGGGAGGCCCCGCTCACTGCATCCTGTGAACGAGCTGCGGCTCCGTCCTGTGCCCTGCCGTGCCGGGCAGCATCTACCCATGCCCCTTCCCTTCTTCTCTCCCTCACTGCAGGGGGGCATTGATCTGCCCCCACATACCCCTTTGCTCCCCTCTTCCCTTCTACCACAACAGACTTACCAGCTGGATGCAGCTGTATCAGAAATGGGATCAGTATTGGCTGATACACCTCCTTAAAAATCAACTATTGGTATCAGCCCCCAGAATCTCTCAGTGTACCCCTATAAAGTAATGAACAAATGGTAGGACTGCAATAGTGCCAAAAAAAAAAAAAAAAAGAAAGAAAGAAAAGCAAACAAACAAAAAAGGACTAGGGGCTGTAATGAATCACAGGCTAAGCGTGAGTCAACAATAATGTTTTAGAAAAATTTAATAGCACATTGGGATGTGTTAACAGACATGCTGTATGCAGGCCACAGGAAGTGATTATTTCACTCTGGCAATGGACAGGTCTCACTTGGAGTTCAGTTTTGTGTACAACATTTCGAGGTAAATGTGAAGAAATAGGAAAATGTGTGGAGGAAAACATGACGCAAAGGAATGTTGAAAGAATTAATTAGGTTATTTAGTCTAGAGAAGAGAAGACTAAATTTCTGCCTCAGTCTTCCAGTGCAAAAAGGATTGTCATCCTTTTTATAACAATCGATTATTCTCTGTGCCCAAAAAAGGACAGGACAAGAAATTGGTTTAAATTACAAGAGAGTTTTAGGTTAGATACTAGGAATAACTTCCTAACTATGAAAGAGGTTGGTTAGGTACTTGGAAATATTACTTAGGGAGTTCAGGGAGTCTCTGTTATTGGAAGTTTCCAAAGGCAGGTTAAAGATTGGTCTAGGATGGGTTTTGTCAAGGATGATCCTGCCTCGAGTAGGGGGTTGGACTAGATGATCCCACCAGTGTCTGTTCCAGCCTTATTTTAATATGATTCTGTGCTATGTGAACATGGCAACAAGGAGGAGGTCCATTCTCTCATTCTTATTAATGTGAGGGGGGTCTATGAGCGGATTGTGTAATTTGATATTGCGTAGCGTGTACGCAATATCAAACATGGACATTGGACATTGACTCTTGGACATTCAAAGGCAGTGAGTTCAGTCTTCATTGGAGGTGTAATGGGGTCAGTGAGGGCATAAGCATTTAGTCTATCCTTTTGGTATTTTTTGCATTGTTAATGTGCAAGAATTGCAGCCCATAAAGCAAGACAAGTCAGTGGTAGGTAGGGGATGCTGAGACCCTGAGAAGATGCAAGATGAGAAGGCAGAAGCTGCTAGGATATGACTATGGTACAAGGCAGGACCATGCTGAGGTACCTCTGTGCCAGCTCTTTGTGCTAGCTCCCAGACAGGAGGCAGGCTGAGCTACAAGTGATGCTGTGACTAGAACAGCCAGTGCAATCCTTGGATGTGTAAATCGGAATAGCGAATAGGATAAGGGAAGTGATTTTTACCTTTTCTCCATGTTAGTTAAACTGTTCCTGGAATGCTGCAGCTGATTTTGGTGTCCACATTTTGACCTCGAAAAATTTGGCTAGGGTAGAAGAAAGGAGCCACAAAAAAACTGAGCTGAAAATAATGCCTTGAGATGAGACGGGTTTCTATCTCCTTAGTTGTATTAAAAAGAAGATTGATAGGTGACTTGATTAAAATGTATAAAGAACTTTATGGAGAGAAAATCCTTGGTACAAAAGGTTTATTTAATCTTGTGGAGAAAACTATTACTTCTTGTTAAGCCTAGAATGAGACCAATTCAAAAGGGAATCGGGATACAGATTTCTAACAGTGAAGGTAATTAACTACTGGAACAAAGTACCCAAAGGAAGTGATGGATTCTGAATCTTTTGATGTTCTAGCATCAAGGCTGAATGCCTTTTTAGAAGCTATGCTTTAGTCAAGTTACTGCTCTTAATACAAGCATAACTTAGGTGAAAACTGTTGGCTCTGATATACAGACAGTCAGACTAAGATGGGGGTAACCAACCTGCGACGTAGATGCCACAAGTGGGCTGGGCAGCCTCTGTGTGTGGCATGCAGCAGATCAAGGAATGGACAGGTAGCGCAGCAACAGATAGAGCAGAGAGTAAAAAGAGCAGCAGATTGGGCAGGGATCACAGGTCAGGGAGCAGAAAGCAGAGCAGCAGATTAGGTAGGGGAAGGGGATAAGAGTGGTAGTCAGTGGGGGTGCAGGGCTAATTTGTGGCGCACCTACCAAAAAGGTCTAGTTCCCACTGGACCAGAAGTTCTAATCCTTTCTGACATTAGTTACTCAAGAAATTAATTAATTGCATTAATCTATAGCAGGGGTGTCCAACCTTTTTGAATGTGGGGCTGAATCATGAACTTTTTATCACCCAGTGGGCTGGTGAGCCATATTCAAAGACCTCACGGGAAGTGATATCACATCACTCCCCCACCCCCGAAACGAAAGTACAGCGTTTACGTTTGTTTCCTGTCGCAGCACCTCAGGCCTCAGAAAGCAGCGTGGAGGGCTGCATGGCGGCCCATAGGCTGTATGTTGGACAAGCCTGATCTATAGTAACCACTTATTTTTTCTGTTTTTATCACAACAGGTTCTCCTGACAGCAAACCCATAAATGCAGTTATCATGGCAGTTACAGGTAGGGCATGAAACTACCACTTTCACCCCAACAGAAGTGTTCACCCCAATAGAAACAATAGTGCTATCCTAAAACTGTTAACATATTGAAGTGTTCTGCCATCTCTGAATGCCTGAGCTGCAACAGGAGTGAACAGGAAGGCCCAGTTTTGTTACTTTTAAAGAATTTTGGCATGCTGTAGCATGGAATGGATATAGTGGGAAGTTTTTAGGATTCTCTTCTTGTTGAGAAGCTGTAAGCTTCCTCTCTCCAAAGGTGTATACCAGAGAGCTTCCCTGGTACCATACAATGACAGCCTCAAGATGAGACAGCATGGTTGGGGTCTTTAGTTTCAAACATTCTTAGTTCCAGGGCCTCTTTTTTTTATCATCTTTTCTCCCACAGATGTACACACCGGCTGTATCACAACACAACACTGCACTACAGCTCTAGGATCAGGCAGGGCAATGCATGCTGCACCTTGCTGCCACCCCTTCCTGTTATAACTTTCTTCCAATCCCTGTTGCATGGCAGGAAAATTTTAGGCTATGCTGAAGGAGCTTTCCTTACAGCACTATCAGCAGCTGCTTTTCTCTCGGTGCTTTCAGGCTTTTTCATTGGAGGCCCTTCTAACATGATCAGTTCTGCAATTTCTGCGGACTTGGGACGTCAGGAGCTGGTCAGAGGGAGTAGTGAGGCACTGGCAACCGTCACTGGAATTGTGGATGGAACTGGTAGCATCGGAGCTGCAGTGGGCCAGGTGAGAATCGCCAGAGAAGGTGTAGAATGAGGAGGCATGTGCCTTCTAAAATTCCCTATGGGAGTGACTGGGGCAGGAAGGAGCTGTGTTATGAAGACATGATTAGTCTCATTTGACTGCAAATTCAATTAAAAAACTTTCCGTGCCAGTTGAAATCTTCCCATCAGCCTTGCTTCGGATATTTAGTCAAGCTTGCTTAAGATATGGAAACAACAATTTTATCCTCCCTGCAATGCTCATCATTAAAAAAGTGGCTTTGAACTTTCAAAGATAAATGGGCTTTTGAAACTTTTCATATCCTGAGCAGGGAAAAGTGGGGGGGAAAAAAACCTGTATAAATTGGGAAAGAAAATCGAGCTGCCTCTTCAGTTCTTTAAATTTAAGAGGATGGTAACAGCCTTTTATAAACAAACTTGTTTGCCTGTGTTAATAAGATGAATGCCTCTTAAAATAGAATATTTATAACAAATGTTACTTAGTCATGTTTGTGTTTGATGCTCTTTATTGAGGGCAGACTTTATACCCTGTAAATCTAACATTACTTGCTTTCATAGTCTACAGTGTTGTAGGCATTGACTAGCTTGCTATTACAAAGAAGCTCAAGGTATGCCTCAAAGATCTTATTTGTTGCCCAAATACAAAAGTAATTCATAAGAAAGAACAAAGTGGTTGTTTTTTGCATTTGGTCAGAATACTGAAGCCAGGTACATCACAGGAACTCTATCCTTCTAGTGAGTAAGTGCATGTAATGTCATGAAATACCAAGGATTCTGCTGGAGCCAAGTCCAAATCCCCGTTCCCAAAAGGGATTAGACGTTATAATTAGTGCTTGTGGGAATATTCCTGTGAATGTCCCCTGGTAAATGGTCTTTCTGTCTGTTTCATGGAAGAGAGAGATCCTTAGTTTTCTGCATATACAGGGCTGCTAACACCTCATAGTTGCCTTTAAAATACTGTGTATTTGAAACTATTTTCCCAATGTATGCCATTACTTCCTGCATCTCCCCCACCTCCACACATACCCATGTTTTATTACATCATCATAAAAAGTGGGGTTTTATTTCTGAGAAGTTCTACCTACTTTCCTACCTCAAATCTCTGCCTTCTCCATGGAGATGGCTGTGGTGTGTCTGCAGCTGGGGGGAATAAACAGAAGTAATACGAGTAATGTTGGAAATAAGATTGTTCTTGTTGTGCTGATGCTTCTCATTTATGGAGGTGCAGATCCCCTTATAATATTTGAAAGCAAACCTATTTAAGGGATAAATTCTACTTGTATGGTTGTGTCAAGTTCAGGACAGCAATCTCTACAGAATTTGGCCCTTCAACATTGGGAGGCTTAACTATTAGTCACTGCTTGTACAGGTTTTGAAATGCATGCCCATGCAGCCTTTAAGTCTCTTCAGAGTTTTTGGCCTTTATGAGGCTTTTTAAATTTACTCACATCACTGTCATGTGGGTTTAGTCTAGTCAGTTTGTCACTCCTTGAGGCTATATTTAAAAGTCCTTCTCTGTGCTGCCTGGGATAACTTGTAAAAACCTCAGGTTTGTATTTCTACTTCATTTATCCCATGTAGGCTTATAGCAAAGGATTAAGGCAATAATCACCTGTTATGCTGGGCAATAAGGAACTGGATATTGAGAGACAGCTTGTGATCAGCTCTGTGGAGCAAGGACAAACCAGAGTTGGGGAAGATAAGAGATGGGCAATGTGTACATCTTAATGATCTTAATCACATATGTGGTTTTTTGTTTGTTTTTTCCTTTTAGTATCTGGTGTCTCTGATCCAGGAGAACCTGGGATGGATGTGGGTTTTCTATTTCTTTATTCTGATGGTAAGAAGTCTTTTCTGTAGCTTTCTCACCATTGTTGAGTCAACAGATTAAATGAACTTCTAAAATCTAAGTAATAGGCACAGAATCATTCAGATGTAGAGACATTGAGAGACAGAACAGTTTTTGTGACAACTGATAAAGGTAATGACTTAAGCACACTATGCTTCTTCTGCAGCAGCCCTTCATCATTATGTCTCCAGAGATACTATTAGGCTACCAGAAAATAATCAGCATCTACCATGTTAATATTAGTTCCTTTGACTGTGCAAAAAAAGTGGAAGTTGGTCGTTATTGTCCAACAGGAAGATATTAATTGAATTTTAAAAAAACTTTCAGGTGATGGAAAACGAAGTTCTTGATATCACTCCTTTAAAATTTTTATGTGCAACCATAAAAATAGTGTTGATTCTAGTTCAAGCTTCTCTCCAATTTTCCAAGGCAGAGTTCCTCCTGTTCCAGCTCTGCTGTGTATGAAGTCACTTGGTTTCCAGTGTTGTTCAAGGAGATGATGTTGAGCTGCTAATTTATGCAGCTCTTTGGGAGTGGTCTGTAGGGATGGTGAGATTTTGAAGACCTGAAACAAAAATGCTGAGCAAAGCTGGCTCAATAGGGTGGCATCACAGTGCTGCTTTGTCTATGAAAATTAGAGTTCAGACCCTCATCTCCTCAGGTTTGCAGAGATGGGGAGGGTGGTGTAATCCTCACATCTCCATTATGGATGAAGTGGTAGCTTGCATTGTTCTTTGACTCTCCTTCCTGTACAGCTGGAAGAACTGCTTTGATAGAGAGGGCAGTGGCCAAAGACAAAATCATTAAGCAGGGAAGAAGCTGTAGGCTTCCTGAAAGTTCAGTGTGCTTCTGTGTCATCACCAGTTTTCTGTTCCTACCAGTCTCTAAAATGCAATGAGGAGAAGATGCTAAGTGGAATTGCAACCGTGTGTGAATGTGCTAATTGTCCTTAATTTGTTCTTTTCTGCAGATAAGTTCAACAGTCCTGTTCATTTCACCCTTAGTAGTGAGGGAAATCAGATTGCTTCTACAAGAGAGACGTTTGCGTAGGCTGACTGGATGACTTCTGCCTCCCTCAAAAACTGTCCAGGGGAAATCACCAACTGGGAGATCAGTCAAAACTCTGGAAGGTTTTATGGGAGTTTTTTCCACCTGCACCTAAAATCATGCTAACTGAAAAGATTGTATTAAGTTGCCTTTGAGAACTTGATGTTACAGTATCCAAATAGCCAGATGGATCATGGAGCTACTATTCTGAACTCGCAGAACTGAATCGGCCTTCAAACCCTACCAGAGCTTTTCAAGTCAGCAAGCACTTTCTAATCCCTCCTCTCCTCTTTTGTGTTCTCATTGTTGCACTCTT